GGAGCGAGCCGAGCCGAGCCGAGCCGAGCCGTGCCGGGCGGCAGCAGCACCCGGTGGGTCCCGCTCCGCTCCAGCCTGGCGCAGGATTTCTCCCGGCTGGCAGAACTGGTTTCCATAACGACTTTCTGTTACAAACATATTTTGATAAAAATAAAGTTAAAGCAGCGAGGCTTTAGTGGAGTACAAATTTGCTGCTCTCTCCCTCCCCCTTCCTCCTCCCCAAGGAGGGGGAATAAAGACGGAAAGCTTTCCATTTGAAGGGCAGTATTTTCTCCCTTCTTTTTCTTTCCCCCGCTGAATACAAAATGGAAAGCCTTGTTTACTGGATTTCTCTGTAAACTGGTTCCGACTCTGCCTAGTTACCTGATGCTCTACAGTATATACAGGATAATGTGATACATTCATTTCCAATTCACTGCATTATCCTTTGAATATTTTAATGACTCATTGAATGGAGTAAAAAAAAAAAAAAAAGCTATTTCAAATGAACAATTATGCTGCATTAGAGTAAAGGCTGATTATATTTAAACACTGCTTGCATGGATAACGGGACATATCGACCTCCGCCTATAAGAGCTAATTTGGCTCTTATCTCTAAATAATTTTACACTGCAAATTACCATGAAAACCTAAAGGGCTTTAAAAACATTCATCAAAAGATATTATTCCACTTTGTAGCAACATTTTTATTTAAATTATTTTGAATGGGAGCGAAAGCATCTCTCGTGTTTGACAATCAGAGGAGCGGCGGAGCAGCGGCTGATAAGGAACGGCAAGCGGCACTGCCGGGGATGGGATGCTCCATCCCGAAACCCACCTGGGAAAGCAAATTCAGAGCCGGATCCCAAACTTGGTGGCATGCCAAGGTACTGCAGCACCTAGAATGGCACTTCGCGCTGCCAGAGCCGCTTCCCTCCAAACCCGGGGGATGGCAAAGCGGTGCTGGGGTGATGCTTGGGGCGATGCCGGGGCACGGGGGCTTTCGCAGCCCCCCAGCCATCGCGCCGGTCGCCCCGTCCCTCCCGGAGAAAGGCACTTGAAAGCCCCTCTCTGCACCAAAGCAACAGAAGGTGTCATGTAAAGCCTACACGGTTATTTTAGAGCCAGTGTGCAAATAAGCCTGTCAGCTGAAGCTCCTCGGAGCCAAGACTTCCATATACCCCCCAACGATCTGCATTTAAACGAGACACCATGTGTCTGAGCCCGGGGAGCCGCCGGCTGCGCAGAAGCCATTTGGGGCTGGGGCTTGGGGAAAGCTCCGGCTGCGGCCCCGGGGGGCTGGGGGGGTGCTGGGACACCCCCCCCCCCCCCCCCCCCCCCCCGCGCAGGGGGGCCCGCCCGGGGCTTTTTCACCCCGGCGATGGGGACCGACCTTGGGGCCGGGGCAAGATGATTTTGTCCTGGTGCCCCACGAGGATGATGCTGGGCTTGGTGGTGTCTTATAGTGCAATGGAGATACATATGCATGTATGTGTGTGTATACGTGAGAGAGAGACATACACACACAAACATGACATATATATGGGACACATAGATCATATCATTATATATTTTTATATATATCATATCAATATATGTTTTATATATATCATAGAATCATAAAATATCTCATGTTGGAAGGCACCCATAAGGATCATCAAGTCCAACTCCCTGCTCATATATGTGTGTGTGTGTGTGTATATATATTTATCTCACAATGAGAAAGCTTAAGGAATAGTTGGGGTTGGGGTCAGCCCCATCCCCGGCAGAGACGCGGCACCTGGAGATGGGAAAGCCCTTCTCCTTCCCCAAAATCCCCTTTTCCCCCTCCTGCATGGCCCGGCAAGGAGCTCTCTGGCCTTTTATACCGCAAACTGAATCGCTCAAATGCCAGGGAACAACCACCTCCCATTTGCACTGGAGAACTGGTTTTAATCCCGCATTTCCCTTCTTTGCTTAAATGACCTTATACGCAAAACATAAAAAGAAAAGAAAAACACAATAATTAGCACTAGCGAATGCCTCAGAAGGATATGTGTACAGAAGGGAAAACAAGAGCTTGGGCTTCTTTGCGTTTAGTAAATATTAAAATTAATGAGAGACTTTCAGGACCCTGTTGTTAGAAATGCAGAAGGGTTTCTGTGAAGGATTAAAAAAAAAAAAGCCCTGTACACAAATCTCTGCAATTATTCTGAATGCTTTATATTTTTCAGCCAATTATGAAATTCATGGAAAGTATTAATATCCAGTTTTAATTTGCTCAATATTCCCATTAACAGTAAAAAGTCTAATTAAGGTATCTGTACAAAAAGCCCTCAGCAGTAATTTCAGAGAATAATAGAGGAGAATGACGAGATATTTCTTGTTAAATGCATGTTACAAATTAATTGATATCTTAATTAGACTTTAGTACTAAGATTATTAGTTAGATTGGTTCAGGGCTGAAACACCTAATCTTTTAAAAGATAAAAGCGAGCAGGAGAGGAACAAACTGATTTTCCAAAACCTTTCGGGAAGCAAACCAGCGATATGCCGGGACAGTCCGGGAGCGATGCCCCGCTGCGGGGGTAAGGGCTCGCCCGGCCGTCCCGGCCGTCTGTGCTGTGG